AGGTACTCATGACCTGAACTTGACATTGATTAATGTTTCATCAAATTCTGTTTGTGTACAGTTTCAGTTTGTCAATGGCAGTACACTTTATATTGATTACATTTACATTATTGATAGTCAAGGTCAATTTCATTGGGATGACCTCAAACCTCTTAATGATTCATTGAACTTTATGAAGTGTTTTGATGACATACCAGTAGGTAATAACTTAACACTGCATGCATGTGAATTCAAAACCTTTTTCAAGAACTGTAAATCTAATCCTCCTGCTATAATAACTGGTATTAATATTACTAATGACTCTACATCTTCAGTTCTAATGTCATCAGTTCATTCATCATCAGTATCACTTACATCAACAGTATTGACTACTCCATCAATGATGTCTGTATCATCAATAATATCTACTTCACCAACAGTAACTAATTCAACAGCTCCAACTATGCCATCATCTACTTCAATTGCTTCGTCAATGACATCTTTACCAACGAGAATGCCTACTTCGTCTGAAGCAACTCCATCAATAATGTCTGAATTTAAAACATTTCCTTCATCAGTGTTGGCTACTTCAGCTACTTCATCAGTATCAAGTTCAACAGTACAGCAAGTTACAAGTAGCTCGATCATAAACAGTACTACAGATACTCCTACCATCAGTAGTTCTACTTCTATTTGTCGTATCACTAGATTAACTAGTACATTAGTGACAGGTACAGTGTATGTTCATTTGTGTAGTTATAATGTACTTTATTGTATACATAGGCACTTCAACTGCTTCATCCTCATCTGTTACAGCACGTTCATTTCTAACTTCTTCATCCATTGCTCTTTCATCAATAACTGTGCCACTTTTGTCCTCATCTTCTTCATTTTTAATTTTGTCATCAGTAACTTCTATAGCTTCTTCTTCATCCCCACCATCTTCTTCATTGACAGCTCCTTCATCCATATCTTCTTCATCATTAATTATTGGACTGGCTTCTGGGATATCAATTGCACTACTAATTATAATAATTGGTATGTACATTATAATCAAATGTTGTCATTAATATGTACATTGTAGTTGTTATAGTAATTGTAGTGGTAGCAGCAACAGTTCAATTTAAAAAGAGAAGAGGAAGAATGGAAGTGACTACTGGTAACATTTATTCAACTGGACCAAATATGGTAAGGAAAAATTATTCAATTTTAATGAAAGCATAGACTATAATTTTAGATTCCATTGAATGGTGTTGTGAGAAATGATCTTCCTCCTAATACTCCTCCAGCAGTAGTTCCCCCACCTATTTACACAG